ACAACGACCATAACCACAACCACAACCACAACCACAACCACAACAACAACAACAACAATAACAATAACAACAATGATAACAACAACAATAACAACAACAACAACAATAACAATGATAACAACAACAACAACAACAACAACAACAACAACAACAACAACAACAACAACAACAGCAGCAGCAGCAGCAACAGCAACAGCAACAGCAACAGCAACAACAACATCAATATCATCATCCGCATCATCATTATCGGCATCATCATCTGCATCATCATTAACAACACCAGCAACCACAAAAACAACGACGACGACGACGACGACGACAACGACAACGACAACGACAACAACTACAACAACAACAGCAACAACAACATTCTCGACGCGGAGATCCCCACGTACACATCCCATCCTCCTGTCACTTCTCGCTCAGCAGAATGTCTTTCAGCGTCTGGATGTGAGAGCGAGTCCGCGTATTTAGGCGACAGGGGCGATAACGACGACGACGACGACAGCGACGACTTCAGAGACGTCCTCCTCCTCTGGACATTTTGGGGAGAGGCAAGGCAACACACAAATGGAAGAGCGAGGTGGAATTCCTCTTGCCGTTCTCACTGCGGCAACTCTGGCAGGCGATCATGGCGTTGATATGCCCGCTCTCTGGCGTGCTACTCGCGGCGCCTGCTGGCACCTGGGGTGCCCGAATGCCACGCCAGCTATATCCTGCGTGTGGGCCCTTGTGCGAGCGAATCTGCGTGAGTGAGTGGCCTGAGCGTGAGCGTGTCGAAGTGGGAGCCAGTATGGGCACTATTGAGCCTGAAAGCGAGCGAGTGAGTCTGAAAATAGTAAGTCTGAGTACGAGTGGGTCTTAGTATGAGCGAGTCTGAGTGCGAGCGAGTCCGAGTGCGTGTGGGGTCTGAGTGTGACTGAGTCTGAGTGTGAGAGGATCTGTCTGAGTGTGATGAACACAAAGAGAAGTATGCGTGAATATGAATACGAAGTAGTCTGAATATGAGTGAGTCTGAGTGTGAGGTAGCCTGGGTGTGAGTGAATGTATGTTTGAATGAGTCTGAGTATGTGCGAATCTGGGTATGAGTGAGTCTGAGTATGAGCGTCTAGGTATGGGAGAGTCTGAATGTGATTGAGTCTGAACGAGGCAAGAGATGCTGATGAGTAAGCCTGAGTGTGAATGAATGTTTCTGAACGAGGAAAAAAGGGGAAGAAGAAGAAGAAGAGGAGGAGGTGAGTAAGTGGAGAGCACATAAGTCCAGGAGAAGCCTGGGGGCAGAAACAAGTAAAAACCCTGAGACATCCCCGCAACAACATGGGCGCGAATCCTGGAATGTTCCCACCCCTGGCGGCTCCCCATTGGAGCGTCCAAATGCCACGCCTGGTACATCGCGGTGGGCAGTGGATCACCAAAGGAAAAATCTGGGTGGGGCAGAAACAGGTAAACCCCCTGAGACATCCCCACGATATGAGCGCGAATCCTGGAATGTCCCCACCACTGGCGGCTCCCCATTGGAGCGCCCAAATGCCACGCCTGTAATATCGCGGTGGGCAGCAGATCACCAGAGGAGACATCCCCACAATCTGAGCGCGAAGGGGCCCGTGACATACCATCCGGCGGCTCCCCCGTGGGGTGCCCAAATGCCACGCTTGCTGTATCGCGGTGAACAGTGCACCAGCAGAAGCAGGCAAACCGACTAAGACATCCCCGTAATGTGCGCGCGAAAGGACCCGTGAGATACCCCCTGGCGGCTCCCCCTTGGGAGTGTTGAACCCAGCGCCTCGCCAGAGACATCCTCACAATCTGCTCCGACAGCAGACGATGTTGCAGGCCAGAACATCCAAACCGCCTGAGACGGAGGTCTTCTATATCGCGGCGAGCATTCGACCAAGTGGGTCTGACTGTGAGTGAGTCTGAGTGTGAGTGATTCTGAGTGTGAGTACGCCTGAGTGAGACTACGTGAGACTGGGCATAAATGAGTCTGGGTGAGTCCGAGGGAGTCGGAGTGAGTCTGAATATGAGTGAGTCTTCACGTGAGTGTCTGAGTTTGAGCGAATATGAGTGTGATGCGTGAGCCTGAGTGAGGAAGAGGAGGGAAAAGAGTTAGTATAAGCATGAGACAGTCTGCGCGCATCAGGATGAGAAGGAGGAGGAGGGAGACTGAATGGGAGTCGGAGCCATCTAAGTAAACTGTGTACGCAAGAGGAGAAGGAGGAGGAGAAGAAGGAGAAAAGAGGGAAGGAAGGAGAGAGCCCGAGGTGTCTATGTAATAACGAGAAACCCATCTTAGGGCATGGGGAAAACTTACGAGCATCCTGCATTCTCCTCAGCAGCGGAGCAGCCCCACACTGAGACGACCACTGCGACGGCGCGACAAGTGAGGCGGCAGTGGCGGCGGCCCCCCTGCTCGTCGACGGCGTCGTCTTTGCCTCCCCTCCTCCTTCTCCTCCTTCTCCTCCTCCTCCTCCTCATTCTACTACTCCTGGGGTTCCCCACCCCCAGGCGCCCCACCCCTTGTTGGGCTGCCCAAGTGCCACGCCTGCAATATCCCGGTGAGCACGGGACCACCAAAAGAGTCCTCCCTTGGGGTGCTGAAACCAACGCCTCGCCCGAGACATCCTCACAATCTGTTCCGAAAGCAATTGTTCACTGCATGGAACTCCCCATGTGCATCTATTAGCATGGACCTGTCCGCCGTGAGTGTCTAGGTAGGTGCAAGAGTTTTCGAACATAAGCGGGCTTGAGCACTGACGGTCTGGAAATGAATACAACTGTGAATGAGTTGGAGTGTGAATGAGTCTCAGTAGTATTTATTAGTGAGCATGAGCCTGGGGCCTAGCCTGCTGGAACATCATGTGGCATCCTGGGGAGGATCCGTGCCCACGAGTCTGGCCAGCAAAATATTCAAACCGATCGAGACATCCTCAAGATCTGGTCCCCCATGGGAGCGAGAACCAGCGCCTGGCTCAAGGCATCCTCAAAATCTGCTCCGAAAACGGAGGACGTCGAGAACCAAAACAGGCAAACCGCTCGAGACATCTCCGCCATTCTGGCGTGAACGGAGGAGTGCAATACCCCCTGGCGGCTACCCCTTTGGGGTGCTGACACCCGCGCCTCGCTCGAGACATCTTCAGAATTCGGTCCGCCGTCATCATTATCATTAGCAATATTATTATCATTATCACCATCATCATCATCATCATCATCATCATCATCATCATCATCATCATCATCATCATCATCATCATCATCATCATCATCATCATCATCATCATCATCATCATCATCATCATCATCATCATCATCATCATCATCATCATCATCATCATCATCATCATCATCATCATCATCATGATCATCATCATCATCAGCATCATCATCATCATCATCATCATCATCATCATCCGCATCATCATCATCATCATCATCATCATCATCATCATCGTCATCATCATCAGCATCATCATCCTCACCATCATCATCATCAGCAGCAGCAGCAGCATCCTCGCCATCATCATCATCATAATCGTCATCATCATCAGCATCATCAGCATGAACATCATCAGCATCTCCATTATCATCATTACCAGTAGCTGCAGCAGCATCAGCATCAGCATCAGCAGTACCAGAGTTATAACATAGCACACCATAGCATAGCATAATAAAATATAACGAATCACGGTATAGCATAACATGCCATGACATAGCATAACATAGCATAGCAGATCTTAACATACAATAGCATAGCACAACACAACATAACGTTAATAGCATAGCAGCGTATGGCATGTCATAATATAGTCTGACATACTATATCATAACATGACATGCCAAAACATAATATATAAAACGTTCACACGCGAAATAATAGCACTATATAACATCATATAGCATATGATGATACAACATGTCATGATGTACCGTAACATAGCACAACATATCATATCATATCATATAATAGCATGACATGATAAAGGAGGAAGAGGAGAATGTGTGAGGTGTTCCTTCTCTCGGCCCGGTCGGTACTAAAAAGAACCCCACCCTCTGGATATGGGGAGCAAGGCACACATCTTAGGACAGGGGGGACAAACAAAACGCCCGAGACATCCCCACAAACTGAGCGCGAACGGGCCCGTGCAATACCCACTGGCGCCCGCCCCCCGCCCTTTGCCCCTTGGAGTGTTGGGACCAGCGCCTGGCCTGAGACAGATTCACAGTCTGCCCTGAAAACACAGGATGTTGAGCACACAGTGTGGGAGCGAACGGGCCCGCAAGGCACCCCTGACGACTCCCGTTGGGACTGCTGAAACCAGCCCCTCGCCTGAGACATCATCTGAATATGCTGTGAGGGCAAAGCATGTTGAGCACCCAAACGAGCAGACCGCCTGAGACATCCCCACCATCTGGGCGCGAACGGGCCCGTGAGATACCCCCTTGGCGCGCCCTCTTGGGAATGCTGAAACAAGCGCCTCGCTTAAGACATCCCCAGAACATGTGCGCGATGGGTGGGCCCATGAGGTATCCACCCTGCCCCCCCCCCCCGAGTGTGCTGACACCAGCGCCTCGCCTGAGAGATCCTCACAACTTGTGTGCCTGAATGATGATGGGCATACGGGGGGGGGGGGAATGATGTGACTGAGTCTGCGTGAAGGGAAGAGTGAGTCTGAGTATGGGCAGGTCTGGGAAAAGGGGAGTGGCATGACTGAGTACGAGTATGATTGTGTCTGAGTATGAGTGAGCCTGAGCGTGAGCTGGTCTGAACATGAGTGGGTCTGGTTATGAGTGCGTATCAATGTGATGAGCGAAGGCGAGTGTGAGCGCGAGGGGGGCGAGGAGGAGAAGTACGAGGCACGTTGGGGAGGAGGGAGGAAGAGTCGGCGCGATCTGAATAAGAACAACAACCCAATCTTACGATATGGAGAGCAAGAATCCCATGTTACAATATCGGGAAAACAAGGACGGGGGAAAAAAAGAAAGAACGGGAGAAACAAACCGTCCTTCTCAAGCGCCTTTTTCAGCGTCTTCTCGCGAGCGCCCCGCGGGATCTTAGCCTGCGGTACACCGACCCACGCCCCAACTTACACGGCCCACTTGCCATGCCCATTCCTCCTATACATCTCAACGAACAGCAGGTGGCAACAAGCTTCCCCCAGTCCCGCTGGCACAGAGAAACAACCCCGAGCCTTCCTCTAATGCATCCTCCTCCTCCTCCTCCTCCACCACCTCCTCCTCCGCCTCCTCCTCCTCCTCTTCCTCCTCCTCCTCATCATCATCAGCATCATAAGCATCATCAAGATCATCAGCAGCAGCACCATTATCATTAACATGCTCGCCCTCATCATCACCAGCAACATCATCATCATCAGCATCATCATCAGCAGCAGCATCATCATCAGCAGCATCATCATCACTATCAGCAATATCATCACAAGCTGAGATTCATCATTTCTTCATCAGCATTATCAGTTGTGTCATCATCATCATCAGCAGCATCATCATCATGAACATCATTAACATCGTCATCATCATCAGCAGCAGCATCATTACCACCACCGCCACCATCATCAGTATCACCATCAACAACGCCAACATCATCATCGTCATCATCACCATCATAATCACCATCATCATCAGCATCATCATCAGCAGCAGCATCATCAGCATCATCATCATCAGCAGCATCATCATCATCACCACCACCACCCCCACCATCATCATCATCACCACCACCAGCACCACCACCACCACCACCACCATCATCATCATCATCATCATCATCATCATCATCATCAGCATCAGCATCATCATCATCATCATCATCAGCATCAGCATCATCATCATCATCATCATCATCATCATCATCATCATCATCATCATCATCATCATCATCATCATCATCATCATCATCATCCGCCGCCCTGTCGTCCTAGCACGCATAGGTATCCTGCGCGACCTCCTCTTTCCCCAGGCAGCGTTTGCACTCACAGGTTATTACTTGTCTTCTGTAGGAACTCGGCCCCAATGGCGATCTGGCTGGTTCATCGCCGCCCGTCCCCGCCCGTCGCCGAGGGGCAATCGTGAAGACAGCGACGACGGGCGGTGACGGGCGGCGCCGGGCTCTGCAATGGTCGCACTACTCTGCATTACTCTGCACTGCTTCGTGTTGCTTTGCACTGAGTCGCAGTCATTCGCGTTGCGTTGCACTACGTCGCATTAAATTGCATGGCTGTGCATGGTTTTGCATTGTTTCGCATGGCTTTGCATTGATGTGCCATGACTCGCCTTGCTTTGCCTTGCTGCGCATTGCTTTGCATTGCGTTGCATTGATTTGCATTGTGTTGCATTGATTCGCATTGTTTCGCACTGCCTGGGACTGTGTTGCATTTCCTCGGATTGGCTCGCATTAGTTTGCAGTGTATTGTATCGCATTTCTTTGCTTTGCATTGGTTAGCATTGCTCTGCATTGAATTGCTTTCCTTCGTTTTGCATGGTTTTGCATTGGTTTGCATGACTTTGTTTTGATGTGCCTTGTGTTGCCTTGTTTTTCCTTGCATTGCCGGCCCCCAGGATCACCCCAAGACGGCCCCAGAGACCCACAAGAGGGCCCAACGACGGCCCAAGACGGCCTCAAGACGGCCCGAGAGAGCCCAAAGACGGCCCCAAGAGGGGGCCCAGGTCGTGAACCCGAGCGGACATTTCGAGCCCTCGGCCCCGAGGGGCCCCCAGGAGGCCCCAAGGGGCCCCAGGAGGCCCCCGAGAGGCCCCGAGAATCCCCCAAGAGGCCCCCAGAGACCCCCTAAGAGGCCCCCAAGAGGCTCCCAAAAATCCCCAAAAATGCTCCCAAGACGCCCACGAGAGCGCTCCGAAGAGATCCAAAGAAACATCCCTGAGCACTCTGACCCACAAGCCAGGCACGGCGTCCGGATGGGCCGAATGCTATCAGATCCGCCGCCCCCTTTTGCTTTAGCAAAGGGGTGCCTGGCGTGCTAGACCCTCTCGGTTTTGGTTTTTGGTTCTTTTTCCAAAAAAACTCCCACGGGGCTCCGGCGCGTCCCGCCGGGGTCCCGGGATTTTTTCCACGGACCTCAATTCCCGACTTTTCTGCCCAAGACGGCTCCTAGATGGCCTCCAAGATGGCCAAGATGGCCCAAGATGGCCTCCAAGATGGTCATAGATGGCCTCCAAGTCCGCCCAAGATGGTCCAAGACGGCCTCCAAGACGGCCCAAGGCTGGCCAAGAGGCCCCCCAGAGGCCTCCCAGATGGCCCAAGAAGCCTCCAAGAGGTCCTCCAGGAGGGCCCGAAGAGGCCAAAATCATTGATTTGTCTTAGGTGTTTGAAGGATTTGGGAATTTGCTTCTTCTCGGCATTCCGACGGCTCAAGACGGCCCAAGAGGCCCCCAAGATCGCCCAAGAGGCCCCCAAGAGGGCCCCATGACGGCCCAAGTGGCCTCCAAGATGGCCCCAAGAGGGCCCCAAGACGGCCCAAGAGGCCTCCAACACGCCCAAGATGGCCTCCAAGACGCCCAAGATGGCCTCCAAGACGGCCCCGAAGCGCCCCAAGAGGGTCCCCGTTGGCCCAGAAAGGCCCCCAAGACGGCTCCCGACGGCGTCAGACGTGCCAGGAACCTACCAAGATGGCAGAAGTTGGCTCGAAGCTGGCCCAAAAGGGCCCAAGAGGCCCCCAAGAGGGCCTCCAGGAAGGCCCGAAGAGGCCAAAGACCTTGATTTTCCCTGTGTTTTTGACGGATTTGAGATTTCCTTCTTTTCGGCCTTCCGACGGCCCCAGCCGGCCCAAGAGCCCCCAAAGATCGCCGAAAGATCGCCCAAGAGGCCTCCAAGACGGCCAAGATGACCTTCAAGACGCCCACGTGTTCCCCGAAGGCTCACCAAACCGATTCGGGGAACACTCCAAGATGGCCTCCAAGATGGCCAAGATGGCCGAAGATGGCCTCCAAGATGGTCCAAGATGGCCTCCACGTCCGCCCAAGATGGTCCAAGACGGCCTCCAAGACGGCCCAAGAGAGTCCAAGACGGCCCAAGACGGCCCAAGAGGCCCCCCAGAGGCCTCCCAGACGGCCCAAGAGGCCTCCAAGAGGTCCTCCAATCTCGCCCGAAGAGGCCAAAATCATTGATTTTCCATAGGTTTTTGATGGATTTTGGAATTTGTTTCTTCTCGGCATTCCGACGGCTCAAGACGGCCCAAGAGGCCCCCAAGATCGCCCAAGAGGCCCCCAAGAGGGCCCCATGACGGCCCAAAGGAGAGAGCGAATAACAAAGAAGTGGCCAGTGTCCAAGATGGCCCCAAGAGGGCCCCAAGACGGCCCAAGAGGCCCAAGATGGCCTCCAAGACGCCCAAGATGGCCTCCAAGACGGCCCCGAAGCGCCCCAAGAGGGTCCCCGTTGGCCCAGAAAGGCCCCCAAGACGGCTCCCTACGGCGTCAGACGTGCTAGGAACCCACCAAGATGGCAGAAGTTGGCTCGAAGCTGGCCCAAAAGGGCCCAAGAGGCCCCCAAGAGGGCCTCCAGGAAGGCCAGAAGAGGCCAAAAACATCGATTATCCTTAGGTGTTCGAAGGATTTTGACATGTCCTTCTTTTCGGCCTTCCGACGGCCCGAGACGGCCCAAGAGGCCTCCAAGATGGCCCCAGAACGGCCCAAGACGGCCCCAAGACGGCCCCAAGATGCCCCCAAGACGGCACAGGAGGCCTTTAAGACGCCCAAAATGGCCTCCAAGACGGCCCTGGAGCAGTCCAAGAGGGCCCCAAGTCGGCCTAGAGAGGCCCCCCAAACTGCTTCCGACGGCGTCAGACGGACCAGGAGCCCACCAAGACGGCCGAACGTGGCCCTAAGATGGCCCAAGACGGCCCAAGAGGCCTCCAAGAGAGCCCCCAGGAAGGCCCGAAAAGGCCACAATCATTGTCCAAGAGCCCTCCAAGACATCCTCTAAGAAGGCCCGAAAGGGTCAAAATGGCCTCCAGACGGCCAAGATGACCTTCAAGATGCCCACGTGTTCCCCGAAGGCTTTCCAAATCGATTCGGGGAACACATGGTCCGATAGCTTGGCAGGTCTGGCCTCAACGTTCGGCCACATAGGCGCTTCCAAAAAGGCAGGGGGCGGCGGTGATTCGCCGTAGGCGTCTTCGATAATTCGCAGTAGTAGCGAAATCAACGCAACGACCAGCAAAGCATTCCGAAGGATAGCGGGCGAATGTCTCCCAGTCTGATATCTCCTCGACGGTGGGCCCGTAGGCTGCAGCAGGCGATCTGCAACAGCTGAGACAAGTACAATGCGGGAGACATAAAACTCAAGAGGCAGGAGAGAAAGTGTAAGCATGCCACCTTGAAGTCGGTGAGACTCAGGCGCTTCACGGGCATCATGTGCCGGACCACACCGGTGACGGCCTCCCCAACTCCACAAGACTGGTCCGCGGCTATGTGGCTGCTCAGGGGTTTTCAGGTGTACATATTGCGCTCTCCCACAGCCTTTTCTTGGTCTCTGGGGGTCTCTGGAGTTCTCGCGAGCTCTCTAAAGGCTCGATCCTCACGACGTGTCCTAGCGCCAACGTGTGTGTGTGTGTGTGTGTGTGTCCACGAAGCCGTTCGGTACGACGCAGGCTATGTAAATAAGGACTGGCACAGGCTACGTCGCGTGCTAAACAGACATTGAGCTAACACACGTCCTGAGGATCATCTAAACGATCCCTGCAATTCCTGGAGAAATCATGAATCCTCCAAGAGGCCTCTTGAGGTCGAGGCACACAAAAACAGCAACCTTTGGGAAACCGAACATGAAACTCTCGAAACTGAAACCTCGACCCGCCCTACCTCCACCCGTCAGGTCCTCCCCTGGGGCTCTGGGAGGCGGTTTTGCGGGATCCCCCCGCGCCGGCGAAAACACCGCTTGAAGCGGGACCAGCGCCGGGAGGCGCGATTTGGAATCCCCTTGCTCGCGCGCCAAGGGTTGGAAAGATGTGACTTCACGACGGATTTCCATTAAACGTTCTGATACTTAGATGGACGAAAAGAAGACGAGAAGTCTGCGGAAGGAAAAGCGATTAGCATAACCAAGAGCAAAGACCATACGAGGTAGAGAACAATACAACAAGACAATACACAACAGAACGCGAACAGACGAGATCATTATAAAACTTGAGGGAGAGAAGACGACGGTAAGATGATAAAAAAGGTAGGACAAGTACACACGGAGAGAACAATGAATGAATAGACGTGGATACCAACAGGATGAAACGAAACGGACAGCAAAGGCCCTGCGCTGCATAGTCCCTCGCCCACCTCGGGCCCGTCGACAACGACACGCTTCTGGTCAACGATGTCCACGATAGTGCACATCTTACCTCCGAATAGACGTGACACTAGCCAAAAGAAGCGCTCACATTTTGCGGTCTCGTCCTGGCCATACATGTCGGCGTTGCACTGCACGCGAACCAGAACCACTCCCCTGTCGAATCGCGACTCGATGGCACCTTACGCCCCAGCAGCCTTCTTGGGCGTAGCTGGCTTAGGGTCATAATCATTCGAACCCCCGTCTTCCCCTTCGGGGGGGGGGGCATCACTGCCCCCTGTCAACAGACACCAC